ATATCATTGCTGATAAACGCCATGTTTTTTTCAATTTGATCATACCCTTCACCCAATTGCTACACTGTTATTCAATAAGGCTTGTTACTTCTGCATCTCTGCATGTTCCAAAACCAAATGGGCTGCTCCTAGCAAGAAACAGATTGATAATTCGCTGTTTAATACTGTTCATTTGTTCTGTGTTAATGGGTATGTAGAGTTTTTGTTTTGAATTGATTTTCTTTTATTATGTCCTGACTATGCAAAAAGCAAATATTACTTGTGATTTGTTTTCATTTGCAACACATATTTGCCTTGTTTGGGATGTATAATTTCAAAAACATTGGATGTTTTGACATGTTAAACACATGGCATTTTTAGCTTAGATTTTAATCAAGAATTCAAGATTAAATATTGAATAGACAAGGTCATGGTATCATCAGTATTATTACATTCTTGTAATTTGGAACAAGTCTGCCAAAATAGTAATTATTTTAATTCCTTTACACGCTTGTTAACTCAGGATAGTTAATCTCTGCAAGTCCATATTAAGAATCAAGAGTTGCATGCTTATGATGGAACTATCATTGCGTGTATCGTGCATTACTGATCTGACAAGCAAAAATTATATTTTATTTAAGTGATTAAGTAATTTAAGCACATCCGCAAGCAAGAAAAATAGCCTTGCAATCATATCTTCAAATTACATAAGCATGAATATCAGGCCAACCTCATGCAAGGTCAGATGTTCTTATTCAAACAGATGCACAGTTTAATATATCGCGGTGAATAGTATGCAAACTTCATGATCTAATGTCTCTTTGAAAAAAATAATCTTGATGGATTTCCAAAAGTAAAACCTTCTTGCAGATGTGCGCATGTTTCAATCTTTATGGAAATCTTGTTTCACCTATGCTGTGTTACTTAACCCATTCTCATATATCACTTGATACATTTTTCTGTGTCATCACCCAAATCCTACCTGATGATGACTCCCTGGACATGGGCCTCATCAAAACTATTATCCTCAACAACAAAGTACACGAATATGAAATAATCAATGCAACATATATGAGTAGAGAAAACAGATTGAAAGTTCTTATGACAATACTGAAGGCACATATGACATTTTCTGTATAACATTCTATTATTTATACTCCAGAGAGCTTAACGGATCCACAAGAGACGATTTAGTGTCGTCCTATAGACTCCAACACAGTTGCGACATTTATACAACAATAGGGTCTGGGGTGCTTTGAGGAATTTATGTCATTTTCCAAGGAAGGGATAATGTGTCCGTGACAGACCAGCCCTAAGTGGGTATGTCTTGAGGACCATACAGCATGTGTTTACCACTTGGTGAATAACCTCCAACATGGGGTATTTTAATAGCAGGGGATTACCATGCTCAAGTGATCGTAAGGCTGAAAATGGCCTCTGGTTTTTAAACTTGGTACAACAAGGTCTAGCTTACTATCACGGCTGTGAATGAGAATTCTTCTGATTAAGTTTTTGACTGTCTGTGAGTCCAGGAACTGTTGGGTTAATGAGACCGGGATTGTATTGACAGTGTGAATGCCAGTTCCCCATCAGGATACTTACTTAGCTGATGATGATGGTTATAATTGGAATGGGAATTTGAACAAACCTTGTGGTGTTAACAAGAATCTTTTGATGTAGCTTTACCAACAAATAAACACTGTCGGACAACACATCAAGCATCTGCGAATTTTGTTTCTCAAAGTGGTCCAAGATATCACATTAAAAAAATTAATAATTTTATTTTGTTTAACAAATATGTATTAAAATTTAAAAGAATATAAACTGAGATGCACCAAATTTTAAAGTTACTTTTTGCTGAAAAAACTCAAGCCACTTTTGTTCGTGTTTTTTTTTCAGAATGTCACAGCATGAACTTTCTAATAAAATCAAGTACTTTTTGCTTTTCATTGATTCACTTAAAAGACTTGCAAAAATAGTTTGCAATTCTTAAAGTAAAAAACCCCAAAGGAAGTCATTAATTCCAAGTTTATTTCTCCATTAGTTAACCGAAATCCTTCTTCAGTAATTATGAGGGATTTTTTTTTGTCATTCAACACCAACTTGGTAACTGACTAGAGCTTCCTGTGTGATTGGAGCAGACTAAGGGTAATTACGTAACATCGGCAGATGACAATTTCAAGTACCAGGAGAATTTAGAGCTCACAAGGTTCTCAAACCAAGCCAGACAGGCATAGAACTTCAAGCATCAAAGGGCAGCAGGGCATCGACCAGTCCCTCAGGTCAATAGGGTCATTGTTTAGAAAGGAGAAATATTATTGTCTGCTAGGTACGAAAGTTCAACAAAATTTCTTTTGTAATAGTGGGAGTTGCCTGTCTAGAGGTTTCTGATTGTATCCTTCCATCGAAATATTTCAATGGGGACTAAAACTTTGAAGCAGATGGCATCGAAATACGATTTATTGCAGTGTCTCTCTATTGTCTCCAGGATCAAAGAATTTCTGAAATTGAATGAAACTTTTATGGAATCGAGTTTTGATGTCACAGAAGGTGAAGAAAGTGGTGTTTTTGACACTGAAGCATTCTTGTGTGTCACAGATGAAAAAATAGGAAAATAAAAAAAGCTGTAATATAGAAAGGTCAGACATTACTGCAGGCAATAATTTAGATTATTTGTACATACAGGTAAAGATTTTAAGACATTTCTAATGTTGAGAAGTTAGTAAAGTGGCAAGTGATAAAAGCTTAAGTTACCATGTTTTTCAAACGAAGACTGAAATCTCTTTAACAATCCCAAGATGTAAAAGTCAGACCTCATGGGAAGGTTGGAAAGTTCATAACACAAAGATGGCCACCTATTGAAGTTGGCTCAATTTTTCAGCAAGCTGTTTAGTTAACTTACAGGGTAATCAGTCACTGTCGCAGTTCAATCCACAAAATGAAATGGAGGTCAGACAGGAACTTCAGCTGACTCCAGTGTCTCTTGCTTGGACTTGACAATAAATACTTGTCTCATGTAAGATTTTTTGCTCTATGTTGCTCAAATTCCAGGCTAGAAACCTTGTCATTTGAGCAATTACTATATGGCCAATTTGGAAAAACTTTGTCACCAAGGAGCATTCAGCTGAGAGTGTAAGGAGGTTGAAAAGGAGGTTAGCCATTGATAGATCCATTGAGAGACAGAGTACAATGAAGCTCTGATCTTGACCCTGTCTTGCTGTCTATTCTAAAGTGGCAAGTCTTAAACTATTTCCAGCCCAAGAGGGAATTTTGTGAAATGGTTGTACTTTAGTGGCAATATTAGGTGAAAATGAATCCCATCTTTTCACAAAGCACTGAATGATTCCATAGTGCATGGATGGCTTAATGAGGATATGTAACTACTATGTCCCATTTTGTTTTATTTGTCACAGTTCAGATAAAATATTAAATTGAGTGAGTTGGAAGTGTATGCAGCTTTGAACAGTATATTTCAGATATATCATTGCATGTCAGCTATATGGGAGCTCAAAATGACAAAGGTCATATATATCACATAGATATTCATTCATTTTGGTAACCCACAAGTTGGTATGGTGCTGACAGACATAGGACCGATCATAAGTAGGCCAAATCTTGGATTTGGATCCATGGTATGCTTGTGATCTAAGGTGCTGCAAATCTATGCGGATTTGCATCCCTTAACTGTGCCAGGATCCAATAGCCTGAGGTTCAAACCCCCCATTCCACCAGATTATGATCCTTGATCTGTCAGCACCATAACCATGCTGGAAGTGGTAAGTGTCTTCGACCTGCACCACTGTGAGATTTCCTCCCTCAGTAAGTTGACATACAGTCCAAACCAGTGTAACAAAATTCACTGAATGCATAAAGCTATGTGACTGACTATCAATGGTTGTCTTAGAAAACAAATTTGTGTGTGTCCAGTTACACAATGTCAAAGCATTATTCTGACAGTCTGACGCTTTGTCCGTGCTTTGTTGCTTATGGTATCCAGGAACATACTTATCGGCTTTCCGACTTTGAGTTACAGATCATGATGAAAGCCTTGTCTGTTTGCTGTTAAACTAACAGACAAATAGATAATGAAAGAGATTATTTTGATTAAAAGCAGTCTTTCATTTAAACACTTAGGTGGAGTCCAGTTATTTCAAGAGCTCGACCACTTGAGCTTGCCCAGACAGGCTTAGAGAGGTCATTTCACATGGTCAGTACATGGTCAATGAAGGGATGTGGTCTGAAGCCACTTGATGCACAATGAGTTTTGAGCGAAGTTATTTCAAGCTGGCTGAAAATGAATAAAGAGTATGGATTCATGGCAGTAATGTAAATTGTGTGTGTTTGAGTTGTACTGCAAAGTAAGTCCCAACCAATGTTGGACGACCCTGTTAATCCCCATGCCTGAAGCTAGTGAAACAAAGCATGGTCATGTTGATTTGAATCAAGCATGATTTAGAGCCGTATGGGTCATGTTAAGTTGGCTGTCACTAATGCAAGACATTGCTCAGGTGTCCAAGGACATTGACAGCAGTGACCGATGACATTCTGCCAGCATCAACATGAGACATTGATGTCAGTTAGAATATTTTCAGATATTTTCATGTCATGTCAAGTTAAAATGATTAGCTCATGTATTGTCCATTGGTGCCATGTTTGGTAAGCATTCACTTTTTACCGTTCTGTTGCATATTTTAGAAGTTATATTACACCATGTCAACCCTCGGTCTGTCTTCTCAAATTGTTCAAAATGAAGAAAGATTACTTTTTTTGTTGGGATATCTTTTTCTCTTCGGTGATATTTCAAGCTAATTGTTTCTTAAATATGACTGAAAATGATACACTGTGTGATTAATTTTCAACAGATATTTTGCGTTTCGATTCACGCCTCCTCATTTTTTTGCATTCCAACTGTGGGTTCTGTATGGATTTTCTCAGTCTTAACTTATTGATGAATCAGATGTTAGGTTGAAATACAATTGAATTTTTACATACACTTTCTTCTTTTGTTTTTCCAATGACAGTGTCAGACACCAGTGCAAATACAAACAATGATAGCATCAGTGCTCGTACAAGAAATGGTAAGTTCTCAAAGCTTCCATCGTAAGATATTGACTTATCCTTTGATTAAAAGATTTTCCAAGGACCAACGAAGAACCTAAAGACCGTCTGAGTGCTGCAGAACGTATTGTCGTGTGGGCGTTTTCTACTTTTATTGGTGGTGTTCTGCAAATAAACCTGGATGAGATTGATTTTGAAATTATTTTAATCCCATTGATTAGAATGTCATTGTTGTTGTAAGTCATTGGGTCTGAGAATTATTTTGGAAAGTGTCTTCATGAAATTAACAGATAATTTTTAACATTTTATGAAAGAAATAGTATTGGTTTGTCGAGTGATAAGATTTCATATTTGATAAATTGTGACCATGAGATTCGGTACCTTTTGGGTGAAAAACAAAAATTTGACTTTTCATTAAATTTTAAAACCACAAGATCTTAGGAACACCAGAATACAATTCACAAGCTTGAATTCATATTTATTACAGAGATACATGACACGAAACATTTGGATTCATTTTCTACAAAGTCCCATTTTCAGACTTATAACCAATTTCCTGAGACAAGGGAGTTAACTGACTATAAAAGTCCAGCTTTCAACCTCGCCGAACTAGGCTGGAATTTCTGAGCTTGATCATAGCGTCACCAGTGGTTATTAAGTGTTATGTCCCATGATCTATGTCCCTCCTTTTGACCAATAAGATTCCACCTCGCATATCACTTGCATTTGCTTTAAACAAAATGGCGGCACCCAGTCAAGATGATCTTATCGATAATCAAGATCTAAATTTTGATAAACGGGTCTTACTTCGCAAAGTGCATCAAATCACTTGAGCACCTCGATTAAAAACATGAAAAGATTTGGAAAATATCTTTTGACACCAAGTTGGCAGTACACATGCTTTGCAAATCCTGCAATCAACTGAAATCTGCTTGGCAGTTTACGAACCGGATGTTGATTTTGTTTCGCAATTTTGATTGGACTCTGCATAGACTTGTTAGTCCAGCCAAAATATAACTCCATAATACCAGCCTAGTTCGGCAAGGGTGGAAACTGGACTTTTATAGTCAGTTAACTCCCTTGCTTCAGGAAGATGACTTATAACTGATGATGTAATGATTGCAGGTTTTCGATATGATGTCTGATTAATCAAAAGTAGACGTGTGCTAAAATGTTTTGAAATAATGTTTTAATTTCATTACAAACTAATGAGAGAGAAATATATTTTTGTACAGCCTACACACATGGTGCTTTTTATGGAAGTAATTTGACATCAAACATCTTTCTTTATTATGTCACAGCTTAATTGTATCCTAGCACCTTTAAGGTCCCTTTTCTCCTGGTGGGTCACAATTGATGTTTTAAAGAAAAGATTACACTGGTTAATTACTGTTTGACCTTAACTGAGCTTCAATTGTGGGTAATAAGGGTTTGAGGTTTGTCAGTAAAATCATTTAAAAGTGTTTAGTTTAATTTATTTATGAATTGATTCTGTCAAACACAACATTAGTCAAGGAAGAAAAAATATCCATATTGTGAGGATTTAGCATTGAGTAGAAGGTCAGTGTCGTGAAATATGTCAGTTCAAAGTAGATATATTCTTCTGCCCAACTTCAAGATGCCTCTCTCTTTAAATGTTGCTGAAATCAGCAGAAATCCCTTGATAATAGCTCTCTCAGGAAGAGCTTATTGTTGACCATTGCAAAGGTTAGGATGGGACCTGGTATTTCTCCCATGGTGTAAAAGTCTTATGAAAATGAATAGTAGATTTGTTCAAGAATGCACTGACTCTAGGTCAGGAACCCTCAATCACTTGTCAGTATCACACAGCCTGATTAGATTGGGTGTAGGTGGTGGGTTGTCTCCCTTGCTGCTATTGTTAACATCGTCATCATTAGGAATAGGACCTGGTGCCAATAGCGCCCCAACACGATGTGATGAAGTGATCTGGAGAAAGAATTGTCATATTTGCAAAGAGAATTGCACTGATTTGTTTGCCGAGTTAGTTCCGAGGGTCCTAATGAGATTATTTTTCATGTTCTATAGACAATATCGCCTGATCCTCTTGAAAACAGTTCTGTTACAAAGTACATGACAATGATCAAGGCTTGAGTTGACATGGACTTGTTAGTTATTTACGATGGAGTAGAATGTTTTTGCCGTGAGTGCATTTCTGTCAGTTTTTGCCATTAAAGCCATTTATGTGACTAGGATACAGTATTTGGGGAATAATCACAACTCATGATTTGTAATTATTGATGCTGCTCCTTCAAAATTCTCCTTAATGAAGGAAAATTGACAAATATTTTTGTCATGTAAGCTAACACTATAGTTTGATTTACTTGCTTTCTTGTAGGTATTTGTAAGCAAATAACAGCTTCAATTTCTTTTTGAGACAGACCCACATCATCAGACTTGCTAAGTAGCAAAAATAGTAAATAGATTAGTTCCGTTGACGCCAACGGTCTCAAGACAACGGGGCTGTTCAGTCAGATGTTGCCAGTTCTGATATTGAGACTTTCCAAAGAAATTCTGTCTTGTCAACACAGGACCCAGAGAGTTTATTGCACCAGACATGAGATGGTATTGTTATAGTTGTATTGACCTTTTAGAGATGCAAAATCAAGGAACTGTAGGTTAAGAAAAAAGTTACGAACAATATTATACATGAAAACACACATCCTCAATGATTGCTTAATTGATTGATGTTTTTGTGTCTCTATTCTCTTTATTTGTTCCTCATTGTCTTGGATTACTTCAGGACAAAATAGAAATTCCATTTTTTTAAAAGATTGATACAAGCATTAAGATGCTTAGGAAATAAATCTGACAACTTCATGAGTATACTTTTCCCCTGTAAACAGATCTTGAATTAGAGTTAAAGGGTAGATACCATTATTATCAAGAAAGAATTTGAAATGAGCATTACACTTTTTACTTGTTTTCGTTTAACTCTCGTAAACTTATGGTAATTTAGCTGTTAAAAAAACCCCTACTAATTCTATCTGGCCAAACTGTGTCTTGTTAAGTTTGGATAGTTCCTTTCCCAAGGCATCTTTTCAACAAGTCTTTACAGTGCATGTCAACATCTTGGAACAGCATAAATACAGATAACGAAATTGTCCTTAGGCCTCAGACAGCTGTCTTTATGGGAGGGAAAACTATGTTCAATTCACAGAAAATTGTATATTACTTATGTGACAAGAAAATTAACAATTATCTTTGTTGAATGCAGTGTGATGAACTATTCACAGGCCATTTGGTTATGTCTGGGAGAGATAGAGGTGTGCCATTACTCTCAGGCATTACATCCCAGATTCAAGGCTGGGCAGAAATGTATATTTTGGCCTGTTCTTATCAAATTATTTGATGCAAACTTTGTGAAAAAAGGTATCTTTCTGGTGCAACTTGATCAGTGATCATGTATCAGTGTCTTTTTGCTGGTGCTGATTGCTATTTCTAATTTGAGGGGTCAGAATTTAATGTAACAATTATGGTCCACACAAGGTGCTGAAACTTTCTGTACAGAGATGAACAAATAATGAAAAATAATAAATGCACTTATTTTGCATCATATACTTGCCTTTGGGCATACTCATATGGTACTGTACACCCTGGTCAGTGGATCCAGTGTGTGCACACAAATTACATTCTCAGCTCCCCTGGGAGTATGCAACCCATGTGCCTGTTAGCATTCACAACACCCTCTCATCCTACTGGGTGCCCATTTGCTGCTGGGTGACAAGAGCCCAGTTTAAAACAGACATTTGCCAAAGTTGACACCCCATGTTTAAGGACAACAGTGTGTTTCAGTGTGGGGCAGGATTGAAGCAGAAGAATTTCTCACCTGATTTGTGATCTGTGATCCTTGCACATGACCATTTCCCACCTTGATCCTGTACATGATCTGTTGAACCCCTTCTCAATCATTCACTCATTCTAAGATCTCCTATGACTATGGGAGTTTCTCTTATGACTCTGTAATATCAAAATCTGAATGCATTCACACAATCTGGAGTGGTTCGTGAACGAAGATTCACGATAGATGTCGTGTGATGATGCCAATTTAGGCCTGGTGGAAAACCGAGCCAGATTGGGCCAAACATTTGTTTGGCAATGGTCTGACAGTCATACATATTTATGTGTCTCAAGGTTTCTTTTCGTACATTGCCATCATGAATGTCGCATAATCTACAGATAACTACCCATTAAACAGAATGGAAATTGCATTGTGTGTCTTGCTAGCACCAGTTACTCAACACTTGCTTCTGAAGTAAAGATAATTAAGAGTTGGGACATACCTAGAAAAGCACAGGACAGCATTAATGAGCACTAGATTATTACTAAACATCCATGCTCTAGTAGGCCTTTATTTTCTCTGCCTCAATGTTTGACATTAAGAAAGTCAGTGCCCCAGTGTGTGTGTCATAGTTTGACTGATCGTGGAGTGTCTTCCTGGTGCATTGTGGGCCTGCTATCCTCCTGACCTATTTACCCATAGTTCTCACTCTGTTTGTCATTTTCCTCCCATTAGTGTGGGCGATTAAACACTGGTGACCTCTTGCTATCGCCAAGAGGAACTCGCAAAATTCCCTTTCAAAGGTATTAGTTGTGCATAGTGCTTTGACGTTGGTGAAATAATGGCTTAACGTAAGCACCATAGATATTTCCGTGTTGCTCTCCGGTAGATGCTTATTACTCTGTAAAGCCATCAAAACCAATGAGATTCATATTTCCAAGTTCCGTTGAAATGTATTGAGTATGCTTGATTGCACACACGTCTATCAAGCATGCCATTAATGATTTGTTCATTGCTGAAGGAAGCAAAATTAACAATTTTTTTCTCTGAATTGCTTTTTTTCTTCTGCTATTTTTGATTCTTTCTAATTGATGTATTGATTATACCAAATAGGTTTTTTATAGCTCCATCAATTTGGCAGGGATTTATGTATTTTTTTAAGGTAACGAATAAATTTACTGATGGTCATTTTCAAATATTTTTGTGGTACAAGGAATAGTA